CTCTGTCCCCAGACCTTGGCCGTGCCCACCGCATTCCGATGGGGCGCTCTGTCTCCGCCTGGCCTCCGACCTCCACGTGGACCTTGGCCACCTGCCCCTCTGTCCCTACACCACCACCTCCATGCTGAGCCATGGGCTGTACCCCACATTGCGTGTGGCACCCCTCCCCACTGGGGACGGTGTCCCAAGACCCTCCACGGCCACCTGCCACTGCGGGTTGTGCCCAACCTGCATACAACGTCTTTTCCAATACACGCGCACCGTGATAAAGTTACTGGGCTTGGGGGATGTCCCCGAGCTGTCTCCAGCCACAGTGGGAAGACTTAAATAGCTGCAGGGCAGAGGCTGGGAGGGCCACTGCCCCAGCCTGTGTTCCCCTGGTGACCCAAAGTGACACTAGGACAGCGGTGCCCAGCAAAAGCTGGGGTACAGGTGAGCACCAAACCAGTGGCCTCTGGATGTGCCCCAGATCTCCCCAGTGCTGGGACTGCAGGTGTGCATCACCACACCTGGCTTATGCTGTTTTATATGCCCTCCTCACATAGCGCCCAGGGTGGGAGTATCTTAACTGAGCAGGTGTGCACACACCCCCCTGCACACACACACACAAGTCCTTCAAGCTGCGAAACTAAGAGCATGATTTTGCTTGGTTTCCTAGGAAGGCAGGACCAGCACGGCCTGCAGAGCTGGCTTCTCCAGAGTGGGGCACACCCAGAGCCAGCACCCACTGGCTGGGCAGGACAGGTTTCTGTCGGGGACACTCCCCTCATTCATCAGCTGGTGCAGAGACTGCCGGAGCTGGCTCAGCCACTCCTGGTCTGGCTGGGACTCCCCGGGCACCTTGGGACCTGGCTGCAGCTTTAGCTGTGCTTACCGGGTGCCGTCTGGGGCTGGGGCCCTAGACCTTCCTTGGCTTCAGACATCACTGAAGATTTGATGGAAGTCGTGGCTCCATCCCGTGACACCTGTGTATGTGCACAAACCCGTGCGCGCGCGCACACACACACACACACACACACACACACAGATTTACCTGTAATCTGATAAACGGCCTGAAGCCCACCCATGGGTTCTCATGGGCCCTAGCATACAAACCCCCACCTTCACATCTGGCATCTCCTTAACTTCCCACTGGCCTGGCCAGGTAGCATGGGCATCTGGTTTCCCTGACAACAAACACCGAAGTCAGCTGGCTTCCTCAGCAGAGCCGTGGTCACAGCTGGGAGCGGGCAGAGGGGAGCTTGGTGGTGCCCCAACTCCTGTGTGTGGCTCTCCTGTCACACGGCAGGACATGCTTCATGCTGAGGCTACCCGAGGTTGGGACGGCTTCTTGTTGCCTGCGCACGTGGTACTTCAGTCCCCTCAGAGTCCTTAGGGACAATGCAGTATGTGTGACTGGTATAAAAAAGCCCATGGCACTCTACCCTTAGTGCAGGTGCCCAGGGACATCAGCACAGTTTTTTAAACTTTTTTTGGCTGTGGCTTTCAGCAACAAATACTTTTTGTGCTGGGTGTGGTAATGCACACCTATAATCCCAGCACTCGGGAGGCTGAGGCAGAAGGACTGCTGCAAGTTTGAGGGCAGCTGGGGTTGTGCTCCTGGCATTGTCTCCCTGCCCCCCAGCTCAGTGCATAAGATCTTCCGCCTGGTGGCTGGAGCCTTCTGCACAGTGACAGGATGAACACTGCCTCTGTCACCTTCTGGGGCTTGTGCCATGTTTTGTCACATGAGGGAGAGCTGGGCAGGAAGGAGAGGAGAGCAGGGTGACAGCGGCCAGTGCCTGCCCAGGGAAAGACAGCACCCTCCCTAGAGCCGGCTGTTCTGCTGGAGACAGCGAGCTGGACCCTGGCTCGAGCAGCCCCTACTTGCCATGTCTGGCAAGCTGAGCCTGCTGGGACCGTCAGCCTCAGCCCGCGGAGGATGGGCAGAGACGGCGTCAGCCTCTGCGGAGACCTCCCCTGCCTCTCTGAGTGAGAGCTCTCTGGCCTCTTGTTGAAAAGCCCCTCCGCAGAGCCCAGGCATCCAGCAGGGACGTGGCCCGGGTGGCCCTCAGCAGCTGGCTGCTCTGCCTGCCTGGTATCCTAACCACGAGCCTGAGCAAACCCTGCCCAGGTGCTGCCTCGCCCCGAGGAGGGCTGCTGGCCCTTGTGGGCTCGGAGGGTTTGAGGTCTGACTTGCTGTTGTTCTGAAATGACCAGCACTGTGGCTGCCCCTCCAGACCACACTCGGGGTCACTCTGGTTATTCTGAACAGCGGCTATTTGGGGGCTGCTGGGCCTCCCCTTTCTCCAGTGAACAAGCACTAGGGGCATTCAGAAGGCGCCGTGCAGGACACAGGCCAGCTGTGGAGGCCTCACATGGGATCTATCTGAGCATGACTGTGGGGAGGTATGAACGTTCATTCTATAGCACCGTGGCATAAGCTAGGTCCCTCCAAGGGCGGTGCTACAGGGTCTAGTAGTTTAGTCCTCAAGTGATATAAAGAGGCCAGAAGGCTGAGGCAGGAGGGTCCCTATGAGTTCCAGGCCAGGCTGGGCTACATAGCAAGACCTTGCTTCAAAATAAATAAATCAAATGACACAAAACCAAGAAGGATGGATCTCCCTCTACCCTGACGCCCCCTACAGGTTTTCTCTGGCAAATTGGAAATCAAACCCCAACTCTTGCCGTCCTTACCTCCAGGAGCTGGACAACCCCTGGAGTCTGTAAAGCTTCTGTTTTCGTAAGTGTGAAATACGAGCCCAATTTTCCCACCTGGAAAGTGGGAAACACTAACATTAGCAAACATCAGCTCGTGGTGGTTGGACCTTTCTTTCCAGTGGGCTCTTTACACGGGGCCCCTCTCTACCTCCCGACAGCCCCCGAGAAGTCACGGCTGTGGCGGTCTGACTGACAGATGGGGAACCTGAGGCACAAGCCACTGAGTGACTTCCCCAGGGCTGCACAGGCAATGGGAGAGCACGTCTGGGCCCCTGGAAGCTGGTGACAGGGCTGGTGCTGGCATGGTATGCGTGGGTGTGAGTCCCCTCCTTGGGGTGACGCGGGCTGGTTGGTTGCATGTTGGGCTGGCAGCCCGAGATGTCAGCATGCCGCAATTAACGTACCAGAGAGCTCGGAAGGCGTCACTTCTCGGTGGGCCTGCGGGCGTGGGAGCCATCGCCTCTGGCGAAGATCTGCTTCACGTGGTGGGGACTGGCACAGAGCAAACAGGCCAGGAACAAGCGAATCCTTTCTCTTCTAGAGCAGGATGCCCTCCCCCCCGCCCATCCACATCCGAGCTCCCCCCGCCCATCCACATCCGAGCTCCCACTTCTCCGGCTGTGGACTCCGGGGCTCACATCAGCAGTGCCCTGGGTCCTTAAAGCCTCGGCCTGGGACTGAGAGTTGGACCCGCAGCTGCCTGGGTCCATTCTGAGGGCCCTCATGCGGACTGAGCCACGCAACCTCCCCCCACCGCCCTCAGGGCTTCGGCCTGCGGGCCGCCTGTCGTGGGACTTCCCGGTTCCCGGATTCCCATTCAGTCCCTCCGCTGCACCTACCTAGAGACCCTAGAGCAGCGGCCCCTGAGCATTTTGATAGCAGAGGTGGGCTTCATGGAAGAAAACTTCCATAGCCAGGATGGGGGTCGTGGGAGTTGGTTCGGGGACAATTCAAGTGTATCACGTTTTGGGGCACTTTATTTCTACTGTCATTACAATCTGCACTTTATTTCTATTATTGTTGTGTTAGAGTCTCCTAAGGAGGGAGCAATTAGATCCTTGCACATGCGCAGTTCGCAGCAGGGACCGAGCGCTGAGTCTAAGGTCTCCCTGGTCCACCAGAGTCCTAGCTCAGAGAGAGCTGGGAGGCTGGGGGCGGCTCCCCACCGCCTCGCTCACTTCCTGCTGTGCGCCGGGCTCCTAACAGGACACAGACAGAGGCCCAGGGCTTGGGAACCCCTGTCCTGTGGGTTCTTTCTCTTTGGAGAACTTGTGCGTGTCTCTCTTGTCTCTTTTGCATACTTTTCTTGGAGACAAGGACTGTCTTACTCCTCTCTTTCGGTGCAGGGCGGCTAGAACGGTGCGGAGGGAGGCGCGAGGGTGCCTGCTTCCTGGTGCTCGGTGTATTGCACACGGATATGATATTTCCAGCAGCGGAGTTGCAGCTTTTCCTTAAAACTTCTACAGCCTGCAGGGAATAGAGAGTTCTACTGAACGCTCTCCCTGGGTTTGACCAATTGATTGCAGAGAACAGTGGCAGAAAAAAATGGTGATTGGTTCTTCCTCTACTTTGTATCACTCCTGAGTTTATACCCTGCTACTTTGTATCATTTCTGGGGTTTATGCCTTGGATTTTTTTTTTTTTTTTTTCTTTTTGAGACAAGATCTCGGTATGCAGTTCAGGCTGGCCTTGAGCTCACTTTGTAGCTGGTCTGGAACTCTCAACCTCCTGCCTGAGCCTCCTGAGTGCTGGGATTACAGGTGTGTGCCACCAGGCCTGGCTCAACTGCAGGGATTTATACCCAGCTACTCTATCATTTCCTGGGGTTTACACCCTGTTACTCTTTATCACCTCAGGGGTTTATGCCCTGCTATTCTGCATGTCATTCCTCAGTTTGGTGCCCTGCTACTCTGTGAGCCTGGCCCTTCTACCCAGATGACATGTGCTGTTACATGAATACTGTATCTTTTCCTTGATCAGGAAATTGACTCAAGTCGGAGGGAAGCAAGGGACCTTGGCAGGTGGGGCTGTGAGCACTGGTCTTGGTTTCCAGGGCCATTTGGGGGTTTGCTGGCATGCTTGAGCTTCCCCCAGTCCTGCATCTTCCTCTCTTGTCCTGTCATTCAGTGCGTGGGTGGCACTTTTGAGGAGAGAGGCTTGGTGTCTTCAATGTAGAAGTTGAAGGGAAAGCCCAGGTGTACTGTACCATGTTCCATTCACACAGTGAGGTACTTTATTCGCAAAGTATTAACTTTTTTTTTTTTTTTTTGAGACAGGGTCTCGTCATGCAATTCAGCCTGGACTTGAACTCACTATGTAGCCCAGGTTGGTCTTGAACTCACAGCAATCCTCCTGCCTCAGCCTCCTGAGTACAGAGATTCTAGGCACTTTTTTCATTATTTTATTGACTGATTGATTGATCATCAGTATTGAGAACTAAACCCTGAGCCTTTGCACTGAACTATAGTCCCAGCCCTTTAAAAAAATGTATGTATGTATGTATGTATATATGTATTTTATTAGTTTCTTGAGACAGGATCTTGCTTTGCAGTTAAGGCTGGTCTTGAACTCACTATGTAGTCCAGCCTGGTCTTAAACTCACGGCGATGCTTCTGCCTCAGCCTCCCAGAGTGCTGGGATCACAGGTGTGCACCACCACACCTGGCTTGTTGTGGGATTTAAGGACACTCCATGTGTTGCCATCACTAGCAAGTGCATATCCAATAGCTGAACAGTCTCAAACTTACCTGACCTGGTTGGAGTGAGGCAGTGACTGACCTGATGATTTCTCCATGTGGTCCTCTTTCAGGGACGCGGCCTGGGACCCCGGCCATGGCGGCACTTTGAGCAGGCCCTGGCGACAGGCAGGGGGTTTCCCCTTCTGGCCTTGCCAACCAGGCATCAAGATGCTGAGCCTGAAGCTCCCCAGGCTGTTCAGCATAGACCAGGTGCCCCAGGTACGTGCTGAGTTTGCTCCACTGGGAGTGGCCAGGGCTTGGCTTTGCAGTGAGGACGCTGCAGTCCCTTGCTCTTGGCAGCCCCCTTCCGTCCAGGGTGCCCTCTCACACCCTCTTGGGGGCGGCAGCATCTCCCTTGCAGTCACCAAACCGGAAATGAAGGGATCGCAGCCGTGGAAGCCGTAGCTCTCCTGTGACACCTGTACTCCTTCCGGAAGCAGAGTAATTGTCCGGGTTGAAGATTCAGGCTGGCGAGAGGAAGCTGAAGCAGTTGGCGGGGCAGGAGGAGGGTTTCTGGCCCCTGTGTGGGCGCTTGAAGGCAGGACGGGGCTGCAGTCACCTCTGTGGCTTTGCTGTCACCCTGGCCCCTTGCAAGAGGCCCAGGCCGGGCTTGTGTCAGGGTGATGGCAGGGGCTGGTGAGGGGCCCTTAGTGCCACCTGTTCCTGCTCTCCTGGCCATGGGAAGCCTTCTGACACACGTGTGCCTGCCGACACCGGCCTCATCGGCTTCGGGGATGACACTCTGTCATCCGTGCGCAGGAGCTGGCTGACCTCCTTCTCCCTGGAGAAGCAAACATGTCACCGCACCTCAGTGACACGTGTCTCAGTGGTGATTCCTTTCCTTGGGGACTGAAGATGACAGAGTTATTCATAGCAGGAAGTTTCACTTGGGGGGTGTCAGGGAGGCCGAGAGCCCCTGTCTGTCTGGCCGACTACAAGCACTTTTGCTTGTGTGTCCCCCACCCCACCCCCACCCCAATAATTTCTAACCAAACTCAGCACCACACGTGGGAGATTCAAAGAGACTGAACTCTGCCAGGCTGAGCCCTGGAGCCTGAGATGCGAGGCGACCCCAGGAGGTGGCAGTGGCCGCTGGGGAGCTGAGTGCAACCCATAAAGCGGGAGGCCACTTCTGCGCGGGCCTCTGCTCGACCCTGTGGAGCATTGGTGGTGGTGAGCAGCGGGACCACGGGGTGACTCCTTGATGTATTTATTTATGGTGTTTTCATTGGCTGCTTCCGGCGGGCATGATGCTACTCCACGGTATTCAGAGGACAGCTGCGTATAAATCCTGTCCTTGCCCCTGTGTGGGTCAGGAAGATTTGCAAATGGGCAGGAGCACTTGGTAAAGGTTAGGGACAGACAGTTTTACAGGGCGCTGTACTGGCCACTTCTGTCATGGAGGAGGAAGAGGTCTAGGCAGCTTCATGAAGGAGTGATCTTCTTTCCTTCCAGTCTTTTCTTTCTTTCTGTTTTAAGTACTGAGGATTGAACCCAGGGCCTTTTTACTGAGTTGCATTCTTAGCCCTGTTTAGTTTTGAGACAGGGTCTTGTTAAGTCGCTAAATTGGCTGGGCTGAGACTTGCAGTCCTCCTGCCTTAGCCTCCCAGAGTGCTGGGATCACAGGCCCGCACCACCACACCCGATGTGGCTCCATATTTATAAAGCTAAAGTCAGCAAAATATCAAGGACAACTGAATTTAATTATTATTGCACATACCTGGACATTATGTTGATGGGTCAGTGTTGTTTGAAATAGTAATGAAGCAAAAACATGTGTAGTTCATAAATTGTTACATTTATTCTATAAAATTTCTTTTTCATTTCAGCAAAAGTATGAATTATGGTGTTATAATCAACATTATCATATAGTTTGTGTTCTGTCGACAAAGATATCAAGCTAGATTACCATTCTTGATTTGTTACAATTCTTAGATAAGAAATTAAGAAATTAGTCTGGCATGGTGGCACACACCTGTAATTCCAGCACTCAGGAGGCTGAGGCAGGAGGATCACTGCAAATTTAAGGTGAGCCTGGGCTACGTGGTGAGTTCAAGGTTAACCTGAACTGCATAGCAAGACCCTGTCTCAAAAACTGACTGAGTGAGAGAGAGAGAGAGAGAGAGAGAGAGAGAGAGAGAGAGAGAGGGAATAATTCAATTGGGAGATATTTCTGGAGTTTCTGCTCAGTTTTGCTGAGGTAAAACAGTTGCAATTACCACAAGATATCCCCAGATCTACATTTAGAAACAGAAATGAATCATTGCAATAAGAGTGCATATAATTATATTAAGCCAAAAATTACTATTTTAATTTCATATAGGTCATCTCCTCATATTGCTATTTTTCCCCTCTAGAAGCAATATCTAGTTAATACCGTATTACTATTTTGTTAAGAAAAAAAAATACTATAAGGAAAGTAGAAGGATTTTCTTAGTCAGAATTATACCACAATCAGGCCAGGCATGGTGGTGCATACCTGTAATCCCCACAACTGGGAGACTTAGGCAGGAGAATCGTGGCGAGTTTGAGGCCAGCCTGGGCTACAAAGTGAGTTCAAGGCTAGCCTGAACTGCACAGTGAAACCCTGTCTCAAAAAACAAAAAGAAAAACAAAAACCCAAAACAAACAAACAAAATTATACCACAATCTACATTTTTGGTTTCTTTTTTAAATTTTATTTTCTCAGAATCTTACTTTTGTGTGCTTCATGTGTAGCTCCTCGGTTTAGAAAAATCAAAAATATTTTTTTAAATATGTATTTTTTAATCCCTTTAAAAGTGAAATAGCCAAACTGAGATTTTTTTTTTTTTTTTTTTTTTTTTTTTTTTGGACCGGCTTTTGCTAACATCATCCCATAACAAAAAAGAGCAGACAGCTCGAATTCAAAATTAATATCATTTCCCAACGAAGATGGAATTTGTTGTAGTCTTTGAGGACCTTGTGTTTGATTTCTTTCCGCCTTCACGTATTTTGTCTAAATTAAGTCGAAACGTTTACCTGCACGAATTCAGTATTCTCACTGTGTGAATTAGGCTGAAATTTGATACGCGTTTTAGCAAGCTGTTTCCCACTGGCGAGACCTGGGGAAAGGGACACAGGATCTTCAAACTGTTCCAAAGAAAGCTGTTGCTCCACTGGGAAGCAGTTCAGGCCATGTGCTGTCCGTGCCCTGCGCTAAGAATGCTTTAGGATTTTTGCTCAAATTCTCTTTGTATTAATTTTCTGCTGCTGGTTGTTATCGTTTGAATCTAGATGTCCCCCAAGAGCCTCGTGCAATCACAGGCGGGGCTTTGCAAGGTGATGAGCTGTGGAGCTCAGAGGTGACTCGCTGTTAGGAGGCGGGGCCTGGTTGGAAGAGGAGGCCCCCCTGGGGGCGTGGCCTGAAAGGGTTCGGCTTCCGGCTGGCTCCTCCCTTGTTCTGCTACTTCCTGTGCGCCATGAACTGAGGAGCTCTCTTCTGCCTTGCTGGCCTGCCTTGAAGCTAGCTGACCATGGACTGCACCCTCAACAAACTGAGCGAAAATAAACCTGTGCCCCTTTGAGTTATGGGAGTTGGGTATTGTGTCTCAGAGATGGGAAGTGACTGAGACACCGCTCTAAGAAATTACTAAAAATTTAGTGACTAAGAAAAGAAAGATAACAGAACCGAGTGTGTAGCTCAGCGGTAGAGCACTTGCCTCGCACGCACAAGGCCCTGGGTTTGAGCCCCAGTGACAAGCACAACCACCAGCACAACAAATTCATATTTAGGCTGGGGATGTGGCTCAGAAGCGTAGCTCCTGTGTAGCATGTGCAAGGCCGTGGATTTGATCTCCAGCACTACAAAAACAAAACAAAACAATTCTCTTACAGTTCTGCAGATTATTAAGTCTGACCTGGGCCAGGCTTGGCTGAAATCACTGGTGTCCGTGGAGGCTGCAGGGCAGAACCTTCCCTGCCTTTTCTAGAAGCTGCCCTCTTGCTGGCCCCTCACTTTCTCCAGGCTCAGAGCCAGCCTGGTGGCCTCTCTTTGACTGGCCTCTGCGTGTAGGCCGCTATCAGCCTCCCCAACTCTTTCCTGTGCTGGCTTTCCATGCCTGTGCGTTTGTGGTTGCCTTGTCACTCTTCCTTCTCCCTTTCTGAGATGAACTGCATTCTGGGAGGGAGTGAACTGCACTCTGGGAGGGAGTGAACTGCATTCTGGGAGGGAATGAACTGCACTCTGGGAGGGAGTGAACTGCATTCTGGGAGGGAAGGTGACAGTGCAGAGGCAGGAACAGGCTTAGGGGCTGGTGAGGAGTGCCGACTCTGACACCAGCCACCAAGTACAGTGTGACCGTGGGTGACAGGTAGATACCTGCAGAGGAAGGTTGACAAGGGTGCTGGCTTTGGGAGAGTGTTACTCAACCTTAGACCTGTATTCATTTTCTGCAGCTGCCATTAAAAAAAAAAACAAAAAACCCACAGTCCAAGGAGCTGGGAACTCAGAAAGTTAACTTTTCACATTTCTGGGGGCTAGGGATTTAGCTCAGCAGCACAGCGCCTGCGTGGCAAGCTCGAGGTCGTGAGTTCGATTCCTGGTACCGGAGAAAAACCAAAAAAATAAAAAAACTTTTCACATTTCTCTGTTGCTGGGAATCCAAGATCATGGTCTGCCATAGTGTAGATCTAAAGTGTCCCCCAAATTCTCCTATGTGGGGTGCTGTGGTCACCCATGGATTCACCCCATTGACGGATGAGTTCACGGCTGACTGTGTGGTCAGGAGGCAGGGCCTGGCTGGAGGCGGGTCCCTTGGGGGCATGGCCGAGGGGTGGATTCCTGTCCTGGCTCCTCCCTTCTCTCAGCTTCCTGGCTGCCATTCGTTGAGCACCTTTCCCTCCGCCAGCGCCCTCTGCCTTCCTGTTGCTGCCAGGGAGCCGGCTGAGCATGGACCGAAATGTGTGCCAAGAAAACCTCTCTTCTAAGTTGTAGGTGCTGGGCATGTCTTTGCAGCAGTGGGGAGGTGACTGATTAAAACAAGGTTTTGGCAGGTTTGTGTCCCTCAGAGGCCTCTGTCCCATGGTCACAGATGGCCGCCATCTCTACATCTTCACATAGTCCTGTGTTTATGCTTGCACAGGCAGGGTGCCTGTGTGAGCGCAGATCTCCTCCTAAACCCAGTGTGATGTCACATGCTTGTCACTGCTGCACTCAGGAGGCCGAGGCAGGAGGGTCAGTGCAAGTTCAAGGCCAGCCTGGGTACATAGAGCGTTCTGCTTACCAGGTGGTTGTGGATGCCATGAGCCGTGGACGGGAAATGGCGAGTGTGCCCTAACAGTGCTGCCTGCCTCCCTTCCGCACGCTGTCCCCCTTCTGCCCTCAGAACCTACTGCTCCCTACCACTGGCTCAGTTATTTCCTCCGAGGCAATACGCAGTTTAATAACTGGGATCATCAAAAGCTTATGCCTTCCCCATGGGATTTCAGATGCACAGAGGTCTGTCCCACCAGGAAGCCAACCACATGCTGAGCCCGTGGTGGCCACAAAAGGGCAAACGCAGCTGCGCCCGTCCACCCTGCACACCTGGGGCTGCTGTCTCCTAAATTGGAGGCTGCTGTGATCTCCTCTGATTTCATTTCATTCTAAATTGCCCAGCCTGTGACCGGAGATGCAAAGCGGAGTCCTGAAAATCAATTCCACAGTGGCTGCGGACTTGGGTGCCGGAGATGAGGCCGGGCTGCGGGGTGTGGAGGCAATGGCAGGTTGCTTTGGGGTCAGATTGGTTTGGGACGCAGAGCTGTTTGCAGATGTTTCCTTTGTTTCTGATGTATGTGGCACTCTTTCTTTCTTTCTATTGTCTTTTTGAGACAGGGTCTCACTATGCTGTGCAGGCTGGCCTTGAGCTCACATTGTAGCCCAGGCTGGCCTTGAACTTGCAACGATCCTCCTGCCTCAGCCTCCTGGGGTGCTGGGATTACAGGCCTGTGCCATCACGCCAGGCCTGCACGTTCTTTCATGCAGAGCCCTTTGCAAAGAGAGAGATAGCTGTTGCCTTCCCCAGCAGCAGTGGGACCAAGTGCTGGTGGTCTGATTCTGTACACAGAGGTTGGGGACTGGAGGACAGCTTGGTCTTGTTCTTCTCCTTTCACACGATTCTAGGAGTCTGCCCACCATAAGCCACGACAGAAGCAGACCTCAATGTTGAATCAAAACCTGGAAGAAATCTCAATAGCTAAGATCTGAGGCTGATTCAAATAGTATTTCTTCCTGGGACCTTGGACCAACTTGCTGCTGCCTACTCCCCGCGTGCAGTGCTGAGGCTTGAATGCAGAACCTCAGGCAGGCTAAGCCCGTGCTTTACCACAGAACCATACCCCCAGCGAGTCTGTTCGTTTGTTGTGTGGTGCAGGTTGGCCTTAACTCACTGTGAAGCCCAGGGTGGCCTCAAACTTGAGGAGATCCTCCTGCATCAGCCTCCTGAGTGCTGTGATTATCAGTGTGTGCCATCCCACATGGCTGTACTGCATGTTTTAAAATGAAGCCTGTTTCTCTCCACAGAGAAGTTAGTGATGCAAGTAAGAATCTGGGTGAAGCTGGGGTCTTTTCAGCTTTCACCACCTCATCAGGATGCATTGTAAGCTGACAGCTACCGCAGTGACTAACGTTACCATCTCTTCAGTCAGCTCACTTATGTATAATTTACTGTTCAAGGACTACAGCATCATTCATCTAAGTCACCGGTTCTTGCTGGATGTGGTGGCGCACACCTGTAATCCCAGCACTCTGAAGGCTGAGGCAGGAGGATTGTTGTGAGTTTGAGACCACAACAGTGAGCTCAAGGCCAGCCTGAACTGCATACTGAGACCCTGTTGCAAAAAAGACCAAAAAAAAGGCACTGGTTCTCAACTGGAGGAGATGTGGCCTACAGGGAACTTGGGCAGTGTCGGGGGTATATTTTTGCATGGGATGTGTTCAGGCACACCATGGGCATCTGGCATCTGGTGGGTAGAGGGCGTGCAGACCTCTAAGCAATGCATAGACCAGGGCATCACAGTAAAAACTTATGCAATCAAAATGTTGGTAGCATCAAGACAGAAATCTTGAAGCCAGGCATGGTGTGGCACAACTCTAATCCTAGCACCTTGGGAGGCTGAAGCAGGAAGATCACAAGTTCAAGGCCTGCCTCAGCAATTCTTTTATTTTTGGTACCAGGAATGGAACTCAGGACCTTGTGCTTGCCAGGCAGGTGCCTATGCCACTGAGCTATATCCCCAGCCCTTGCCTCTGCAACTGAATGAAATGCTGTCTCGTGAAATTTAGGAGGGTGTAGATCAGTGAGTGGTGGGGCACTTGGCTGGCATGGGTGAGGCCCTGGGTTCAGTCTCCAGTGTCCCCCCAGTCAAATAAAGAGCAAAGACCTTGGTCTCAGGCAACACAAAGGGAAAAAAGGCTCCTGGAATCCTAGAACTACACTGAATTACACTCACTCTTCTGTGATCTTTCCAGCTTCTTACATCTCCATAGTTCTCGTGGTGGGAGTGTAACTGACGTTCCACTTGTCTTTGTTTATTACTGTAGCCTGAGCTCGTGCCTTGTTGTCCTCTTGGTTACTTGGGTTTTTTCTTTTTTTTTTCTTTTACAGCACTGAGGATTAAACCCAGGGCCTTCGCATTGAGCTATGTTACCTCCCCCCTTTTTATTTTGAGGCAGAGACTAAGTTGCCCAGGCTGGGCTTAAACCTACAGTCCTCCTGCCTCAGCCTCCCAGAGTGCTGGGGTTTAGGCACGCACCACCATTCCCAGCTCAGTTATCATTTTGAATGGATGTGATACAGTACTCACAGGTTGGAGGGACTTGCTCGGTGAGCCGTCTGGGTGTGGGTGGCCCTGTGGCCCAGTGGTGGCTGGGCCACAGTGCGGGCATTAGCATCACGGGCCCCGTCATCAAAAGGCCTTTGTGAAGCACCTTGGGTGGCACCCTGGCACTGGGGGGCCTGCTGCAGCCCCGATCCTGGGCCCTGTGGGCTCAGACAGCAGCACATATGTTAGCCAACCACGAAGACACCTGAAAGCCAGGCTGTGGGTGCCAGGCAGAGAGGGCAAAACTGGATCTTTGGGCAACATTCATGCCAAGAGTGAGTGCATCTGGAATTCTCAGGGGATGAGGGATTTCAGGAGCTCAGCCTGGGCAGGGTGGGGGCGGTTGACAGGGTGGGGGTCGGTCGGGGTCCCAAGTTCACAGTGCCAGCTGGAGGGAGCCTGGGGGAGGCCGCCGTGCAGGCCTGAGACTCTGCGTTCTCTCCACAGGCGTTCCATGAGCGGGGCATCCTCTTTGGCTACCGGCATCCACAGAGCTCAGCCGCTGCTTGTGTGCTCAGCCTTTTCCAAATGACCAATGAGACCCTCAACATCTGGACCCACCTGCTGCCCTTCTGGTACCTTCCGCCCCCTTGACCACTCAGGACCCCAGGGGACTATGGGTCCTTTGGAACCCGGCTGAGGGTGGGAGGCCCCGTGGGTGCGGGTGAACATGTGCAGAGAGGCTGGGTCTGCCACAGAATAGCCTTAGGGCGTGGGTCCTGGTGGGATTCCAGGGAATCCCCTGAGTGCTGACTTTCATCTCCTTTAGTCTTGGAAGCTTTGTGGGACCCCTGGTTAAAACCTCACTGGCTTGAGCAAGTCACTTAATCCTTCTGAGCTTAGCACTTTGCCACCGTGAAGCAGGCGTGGCCCGTGCGATTTTCCCAGGGTGGCTGTGAGGACAGGGAGAAGAGATAGCAAAGGCACCGGGCACCAGGCAGTGGGCGCTTGGGATTGTTTTGGAAACTGCAGCACTGGGGGCCTTGGTCACACACCCACCTAACCTAAGCAGTGCGGAGCTGGGACAGGCCCACAGTCCCCTGTCACAGCACAGATCTCCTGGTGTCCGTGGGGACTGTTCTTGGACCCTGTGCCCAAATCTGTGCATATTCTTTATTATATTATGCAGAGCAGTGTCACGTCTGTGTGTCTCCTCCGCATCCTTCCACCCACCTCTAGGCTCCCGAAACTTCCCGGGACGATGTAACGCTCTGTTAGAAGCTGTCGTGCTGTCTGGCTTAGGGAACGGGGAAGGAAAAGCGTACATGCCGCGTATGGATGCAGTCTTAGCCCTTCCATATTCTGATTTGCGGTTGGTTGAGTCTGAGGATGCGGAGCCCGAAGAGAGGGTGGGGCTGTTGAGTATCAGAGCTGGGCGGGTGATGAAGGTCATCTGGGCCACGAAGATCATTCGAGACGCAGAGCTGAAGGGATCCCAGTGCGTGGGGAGGCAGCCCAGCCTGACTGCAAGTCGGAAGACACAGCTGGAGCCAGAAGCAGAGGAGGCTGGGTCCTGCAGCCACTCCACGGAGGGCCAAGGAAGCTCCTTCCCGGGGTGCTGGAGGGGGTGTAGGGTGCTCTGTAGTGACGCCTGACAGCTCAGGGGTCTGCAGCCTGAGCAAAGGGACGGCAAGGTCCTGCTAAGGGACCATTTGTCGTGTGAACTTTTTACTTGTATAAAAACTTCAAGGCACTAAACGGTAACATTGCAGAAGGGCAGTCGGGTGCCTTCTTCTCCTCCTTGGGTTACTGGGGTTGCCTGTTCCTTGTGTCGTCCTGAGCTCTTCCGGGAGTCCGAGGTGATCTGATTTGAGTGTGGAGCAAGGTTGGCTCAGGCCGGTTTGAGCTTTGTGCCGCTCCACAATGTGGGGCCCTCAGGGCCATGCACAGATCCTGGGGTGGGGCGTGGTGACTTTGCAGCTACTTTACAGTGGAGACAACCAGGCCCCCAACGCTGTAACGGCTCCCCTGCATGGGCTGGGCTCTCAGACACATCCCGACTGAGGGGCACAGAAGGGGGCGGGCAAGTGTGCCCCAAGACACCTTAAAGAAAAGAGCTCGTGGAACAGTCTTGAGATTAAATCAAAACAGGGGCTGGGGATATAGCTCAGCGGCACAAGCACCTGCCTGGCAAGTGCAAGGTCCTGAGTTCGATTCCTGTTACCTTAAAAAAAAAAAGAGAGAGAGATTAAATCAAAACAAAACACAAAAACCAGTTAAGTTTGCTGAAGCTCCCTGCTGGGGCAGGAGGAGAAAGCCCCATGGTGTAGCCAGAGGGCTGACACTCTTTTTCCTAGGGTAAATCTTTGCAGTCTCCTTCCCAAGAGGGAGCTGGCTTCCCAGCAGTAGTGAGGTGCCATGCAGGGGGAACCTGACACGCAGGTGACAGGCAGATGTGACAGAGCTGTGTGTTGTCCCTGACCTTTCTGACACTCCGAATTGCCGTGGGAGGTGGTGAGCCCCCCATCCTTGGAGGCATGCAAGCGAAGCTAGGGAATCACTCAAGCAAGATGCTATAAGAGGGATTCCAACCTCCCTGGCATGTGGCATTTCCCTAAAATGAAGACTTGCTTGCTAGTAGGGTAAGGTGTCTAAGCGGAGCCGGTGGCCCGTGCTGTGTTTCAGGTTCTTTGCATGGAGGTTTGTGACTGCGCTGTGTGTGACAGACATCCAGAATGACAGCTACTCATGGCCGATGCTTGTGTACATGTGCACCAGCTGCGTGTACCCCCTGGCGTCCAGCTGTGCGCACACCTTCAGCTCCATGTCCAAGAACGCCCGGCACATCTGCTACTTCCTGGACTACGGCGCAGTGAATCTCTTCAGCCTGGGTACGTGGCCTGCTTGGCACCCACACCTGTCGAGCTGGGCTCCCAGCAGGGCATTCGCGGGTCTGCGGGGAGTTAGGGGAGGCCAGGGCCCCGCCGAGGTGGCTGGTGAAGGTTCTGTAAGGTTCAGAGCCAGCGCCTGGCTGTCTGGGGACCCCAGCCTGGTCGCAGTGTTTGCAATTTGAGGGTGCAGATGCTCCCTCTACAGCCTACTTCCAACTCCCCGTGTGACAAGGCGGGGTACAGAGTGGGCAGGGAGATGGACAAACCATGGCGTAGGGGCTGGGGACTCAGCTCAGCAGCACAGCGCCTGCCTGGCAAGCACAACGTCGTGAGTTCGATTCCCAGTACCGGAAGAAAAAAACAAAAGACAAACCATGGCGTAGCAATTCCACTGGAGCAAAACAGGAAATGTATGTGCTGAGTGCTTGGGACGCTGGTTAATGCGAATTACTTAGTTGTAAGTTTATGTACTTTAATTTGTAATGGTGCCTGGATTTGACAGTTCAGCTCAGAGCAGCTCTGAAACTCTCCCAGTCAGCTCGAGCAGGCCAGGCTGGGCAGGTACAGCACAGCAGGGCTGGTCAGTGACACTGGACACAAACAAGGGTGTGGTCACCAAGCACGACTCCTCAGAGTGCCACAAGAATTGAGCTGAAGTTGGGGGTGGGTGTCCCCAAGTCCTGTCTTTCTCTTTACCCAGCATGCCCTCTTTTCCTGCTTCCCCTCTTCCCCTCTGCATGTGGGCATCTGTCCGTCCGTCTGTCCATCCATCCATCCATCCATCCATCCATCCATCCATCCATCCACCCACCTATCCATCCATCCATCCCAGAACCTGGCTGTAGCCTCTTGCTTCCCTGATCCTGACCCCGGTGTGAAACACTATCACAAGCACCTGTCCAGGCTGGGTACGGCGGTGCACTCATGTAATTCTAGCTACTCAGGAGGCTGAGGCAGGAGGATCATAAGCTCAAGGCCAGCCTGAGCAATTCAGGAACATCGTGTCTGAAAATAAAAAATAAAAAGAGCTTGGAATGTAGTTCAGTGATAGAGCACCCCTGGGTTTAATGCCCAGTACTTGAAAAAAATTTTTTCTTTTGTCCAGAAGGAGACGGCATCTGTCGTCTTTCCTCTTCCTCTCTCCTTTCATGTGTGTGCGTGTTTGTACATGTGTGTGAAACTCTTCCCCACCTTCCCACTCACTAAAACTGGTTGCCTCAGCCCAGCTTCCTGTCAGGCCCAGCAGGCTCCATGGGCCATTTCTCTTCTGCTCTCCTGCCAGCACTTTTTTTAAGGGCAGAGTCTCACTATGTAGTTTAGGCAGAATTCACTATGTGGCCAGGCCAGCAATCCTCCTGCCTCAGCCATCTGAGAGCTGGGATTACAGGTGTGCACCACTATGGCTGGCTGTCCTCTTTGGGCCTCCTGTGCACCGTGCCTCAGTTGTGGTCATCATAACCCCTATCCAAAGCCCTTCTGAGGTCCCTACTGCCGGCGGGAGGAAGCTGCCTCTGTGGGGCCTGGCACCCAGCCCTCCCTGCCCTCGGGCTCCTGTCCTGAGGCTTTGGCCAGCTCTGCTGTAGCGTGGGGCAGGTCTGAGGCCCCGGGTGCTTGTATTGCCCATGGTGCTTGGTGCACACCTTTGCTTGTCAGCATCCACCGGGCAGAGGCAGGGTCTGGGAAGGGCTCAGCTGCCCAAGGCTCCCCTGGGAGACTTGGGGAGCATGGCCTCTCTCAGAGTGACAACTTTGATAGATAGAGTTGTCAGGAGCAGAGGCTGGGGCTGTGTGGCCGCGGCCCACCCTGGTTCTTGATGTCAGGGACTCACCATGACCTTGGGCTGACACTCACTAAGGACAGTGGCCTCCCTGTCCTTCCCAAGAGAGGCTTCAACTGCAGGGCTCTAGAAGACCCCAGACCTGGAACAGAACCCCACACCCAGCCTCCTCTCCTCTCTCACGCCCTCTCAGCCCAGTGTCCCTGAAGGGCAGGTGAGCTGTGACACTCAGACTTGAGCCGGCCACAGTGGCGGCAGCAGGGTCAGGAGCAGGGACTCTTGCTAAGGTGCCTGCTTGAGGCTTGGCTTTGCTCCATGCTGGCTGTGTGACCCTTGGTGAGATACTGGCCCTCTCTGTGCTTAAGGATTAAATGAGCTCATCCTCAGTGCTTGGCTTTGAGTGGGCAGAGGAGCGACGGGAGGTGGTCAGGGGTCCCTGTGGTCCCCAGGCCTGGCTTCCTTCCCACCGGGCTTCTTCCTGCAGGCTCGGCCATCGCCTACTCCGCGTACACCTTCCCGGACGAGCTGGTGCACACGGCCTTCCGGGAGTACTACGTGGCCCTGGCTGTGTTCAACACCAGCCTCAGCACCGGCCTCTCCTGCTATTCCAGGTACCGGCTGGGAGGGGGCTGGGAAGGGGCGATGGGGTGCAGACTCTGATCCTGGGGCCCCGAGGCGGTGCCGTGGCAGGCACCTGCGTGGCCTCACCAGGCCCTTTCTGGCGATGCAGGGAGGAGCGACAACTTTGATAGATAGAGTTGTCAGGAGCAGGCCAGCAATCCTCCTGCCCTGACCCTTGCAGCGTGCCAGGCAGAAGGAGGGACATCCGCAGACTCCCCAGAAGTCCCAGAAGGGGCTGTCCCTTCCTTGAGAGTGTAGCAGGCAGTGTCGCCTGGCTGGGGACACAGGGTCCTTCCAGTGACCTCCGGCCTGAGCGTGGAGGGAAGGAGGGGCCTTTGGGTTCAGGTGATGGAGGAAGCAAGGAGCCCGAGGCCACTGAGCGGCCCGGGGAGGGCAGGGGAGCGCAGGCACCTGCGGCCCCCTGGGAAGGAACTTCATGGACTCGGCTTCCAGGCCTGCAGGGCTGCCAGGGGCCCAGGAGGGGACAGTGGCCATCTCTCTTCCCCTGTCCCCAGGTCCTCAGGGTTTCCCGGCTCTTGCCAGGCCTGTCCCATTCCCATGCCCCCTCTGCCTCCCATGTTGGGGAGTGACAGAGCCGCTGGCCCTGGTGACTTCCGGACAGGAGGGCAGAGAGCAGGGCACGGACCCCCTGGTGGGACAGACCTGCGGCGCAGCCTGGCGCCCCGCACTTGGTTCCTGGGATGGAGGAATTGGTTCAGATGAGCGTGCTCTAGACAGCGGCCTCCGTGTGCTGTAGCATTGGAGAGGTGGGATGAGAAAATGCACCTGCCCGTGCTGCCCACTGCCCAGATTCCAGCCAGCTGGCCCTGCCGAAGTCCTCGAATTCCAGATGCTAATCCAGCTGTGACACAAGAGATCTCTGATCAACCCTGTCTAAAGGGAAGCTTCTCCCCCAGTCTAGTGTTTCTGGCCACCCTCGTTCTGGACACAGGAGGCCTGGCTCCCTAAAAACCAGCCCTCATCCTAGAATGCCGAGATGGGTTGGGCGTGTGGGGCGCTCTGGAGGTCGCTCCTGGAACCTCCGGCTGTGGCGCCACCCTGTGGCCGGATGTGGAATTGCACCGTGGTACTGGGACTCTAGCGCTTCTGCCTTTTCCCCTCTGCGGCTGTCTCTCGTTCTTTTTCTGTTTTTCTCACCTGTAAGCTCGGCTCTGCAGCTGGACAGGCTGGTCCGTGTGCCCCTGGGGAAACACTTTACGCAGGCCAGGTTCGATGCTGTCTCAAGTCGCAGGAAGGCCTTGTGCTTGGGTGAGCGGCCCCAGGGAACGCAGCTCTTTCTGGAAAATGGCTTGTGGTGGCTGTCAGCGCACCAGGACCCGCCGTGCTCGGCCAGCGTCTGCCAGGGTAGACTGAGGCAGGTGCCCTGGCCACGGGGTTGTGGCCCTGGGTCAGGGGTGCAGGAGGGAGCAGGGCTATGAGGAAGTGGGGAGCCCACTGCTGCGGGCTGACTCCTTGCTCACTGGATTTTAGGCAAAGCACCCGGAGCTTCCGGTCCCTCCTTTCCGGCCCAGCATAGCCAGGGATGGGGAGAGGAGGGGACAGAGACCCGCACGTGTGCTTTGTCCAAACTGCATCTACGAGTCAGGCTTTGCGGGCCTCTGGTCACCCCGGGACCTGGCCCGTGCGTCCAGCGCCTGCGCTGTGAGCCGGGAGCAGTCGCACACCCACTCAGGTCACCTGCGAGGCCTTGGGGTGCAGGGAGGCCAGGAGGCCCAACTCTGTGATTGTGGGACTGTGTGGCCTCCCTTCCCGCGACGTTTGTGGTTTCGTGGAGGCCGTGCTTCCTGCTTGGGGGTGGGGAACTGCGGGCCCTCGCTTTCCTCCTCGCCCTGCCGGCTTCTCCTCCTTCTGCACCCCAACCCTGCCATGCTTCCCAGGCGAAGGCAGGGCCAGGAGAGAAGAAAGCTGCTGCCAGCTAGAGGGAGGCTGGAGTGCGTCCCTGGAGCTGGGTGTGTCTCGGGGTCCGGGGTGGCCTCTCCCTTCCCTGGAACAGGAGTCACTGCCCTCAGGGCTGGGGGATGGGCCTCAGGCAGCTTTGCAGCAGGGTGTGGGGAGCGGGACCTGCCAGCCGCGCCTCTGCCCTTGGGGAGGACTCTCCAGCTGCTGATAGGATCCCTGCGGCCCCTGTGCTGGGGAAGGCAGCTGCTGCAGCTGGAGTGCTGTCATGTGGCTGTCCTGGTTCACCAGCGCCAGGGGGAGTGCTAGGGTTGCAGGACCCGGTGGGAGCAGCAGATGGTGCTGGAGAGAGGGCAGGCCGTGCCCACTTGAGGGCTGGGGCAGAGGGTCTAGGGCGGCGGCAGAGCACGGGACCAGGGCGGAGCTGCTGGTGAAGGCTGGGAGGTCAGGGCCTTCTGTGGCTTCTCCCTGCCACCCATGCTGCGCCTGGGGTCCCCATCTGCAGCCCTGTGGGAGAACCCCGCACCCCACCCCGGCAGGGACAGCAGGGGCCGGGGCGGGGGCCGCCGGCCACAGAAGCTTGGGCGCAGGGCTTGCGCTTTGTGGGAGGCGGCGCGGTTTGCAGTGTGCGCATGCGCGAGTTCCTGAAATTCCGTCTCTGTCTCCCCCCACTCCCTCCCTGACTTAGGTTCCTCGAAGCCCAAAAGCCCGGGCTTTCCAAGCTGCTGCGCCTCCTGGCCTTCGCGTACCCCTACATCTGGGACTCCCTCCCCCTCTTCTACAGGGTAAGCAGCTGGGGCTCCTCCAATGTTGGTGGCAGCGGGCGTCCAGGGAGCCTCCGCTGCTGGGGGCCCGGCACCCACGCTGGCACCGCAGGGCCCGCGGAGCTGGTAGTGGGATAGGGCTGGCAGCCGGGGGTTTGCTGAGGGGAGCAGGCAGTGGGCTCTGGAGGCGAATCTCTGCTCCTTGCTGCCAGTCCCGGTCAAAACCCCTGTGCCTTGACGTGCCCCCTCTGTGAGATGCTGTCACGCCCCTGCCGGGCTGTGGGGAGGATTCTGAGATACCGTGTAGAGCGCCACCTGGTGGCGAGAGTCCCTTCACGCATTATCTTATGTTACCAGTTTATGTGTGATTGCTATTGAAGGAAAGGTATGAATAAGGGTCTTAGAGGACAGACAGAGCCGGTGTGCTGGTGCGCGCCTGTAATCCTAGCATTCGGGAGGCTGAGGCAGGAGGATCACCACTGAGTTGGATGCCAGCCTGGGTTATATAGTGAGTTCAAGACCAGCCTGAACTAATACTGAGATTCTGTCTCAAAATAAAAATAAGACCAAAAAAATGAGTTTAGATGTGAATAGACAACTTTCTACGCTACCGACTGCTACTCCCAGAAAGAGTAGCAAAAATACACAGGATGATTTTTCTTTTCCCTTCCTTTTTTCCCTCCCTGCCTCCATCCCTCCGTCCCTTCCTTCTTTCCTTCCTTCTCTTCCCCTACCCCTCCTTCTCTTTTCTTTTCCTTCTGTAATTGAATAACCCGAGGCCCGAGGAGCATGAGGGGCTTGAGACAGAGCTCGCTTGGGCCTCACCTGGTTCACCTGGAGCAGGAGTCCTGCCTCCCCATCTTGCTTGTCCTCCCCCGGGCGAGGGCCTGAGATGTGCGGGCCTCCTGCTGGTTCCGAGAAGGGAGAGGCCGGAGGCCTGGCCTCCCCTCAGGGCCCGCTGTTTCCCTAAACACCTGCAGCTCTTCCTGTTCCCGGGGATAAGCGCACAGAACGAAGCCGTCTTGTACCACTGGAGGCACACGGCCATGACGCTGCTGGCCTCTTTCCTGTACTCCGCACACCTGCCCGAGCGCCTGGCCCCGGGCCGCTTTGACTTCATCGGTGAGTGTGCGGGGCCAGGCCACCCTGACCCTTGTGGCTGCAGAGGACTGGGGAGGGGAGGACCTGCAGGGCAGGGACAGAAGCCACTCTGGGTGTCACTGTCCACACCCAGGGCTCCCGCCTGCCTGGCCGCTGCCCACCACACTTAGATGAAGTAGAGAGGGGACTGCGGACTGAATTGGGGGCTATAGGGAAAAGTACCCAGGCGTCCTTGTCAGCACTCCGGCTTCTTGAATACTCTCTTGCTCACCTCTGGCCTGTCCTCTCGGGCCAGGGGGCAGAGCCAGGTGATGGCAGATGGTCACCAGGTGTTGGGGGAGGCCCTGGTCCGGAGTCACCGGCTGTGCTGTGGTGGAAGCCCTGCCCACGCTCAGAGCCAGGCCCCCACGGGAGCCGATGGCCCGGCCCAGTGGCCCCAAGCAGGGCCCCTTGCATTCCTGCCAGGCACGGGGAGGAGCGGTCACTTTGCTGCGGGACACGCAGACTGGGGGGCATGCGCGGCCCCTGACTTCAGCCTGAACAGGCCAGGGTGGCACCTCAGGCATCCCTTCTTCCCAAGGACACGGAGGGGCCCTGAGGAACTCGTCAGACATCCACTTTGACTCTTGGCGGCCCTCCTTTTGGCCTCTGCTCCTGCCGGGGGCCAGGCTGCTCTGGCTGGGTGGCGCCTCGGAGTCTTCTGGGTTAGGTCCTGGTTACCACACAGAGCTTTCCTTCTTGTCTCACCGAAAGAGAATCCGTTGTTTTGTTCTGTTTTATTTTTTCTATTTATTTTGTTTTGTTTTATTGTACTTTTGTTTTTCTGCGAGAGGGTCTCACTATATATAGCCCAGGCTGGCTTCAAACTCACTGTGATCTTCTTGCCTCAGCCTCCGGAGAGCTGCGATTACAGGTGTGCAACACCACGCCTGGCTCGTATTGCCTTTTTTTTTTTTTTTTTTTTTGTCTTTTTGAGACAGGGTCTTGCTATGCAGTTCAGGGTGGCCTTGAGCTCACTTTGTAGCCCAGGCTGGTCTCGAACTTGCAATGATCCTCCTGCCTCAGCCTCCCAAGTGCTGGGATTACAGGTGTGCATCACCATGCCCAGCCTCATATTGCCTTTTTTTTTTTAAATTTTTTGTTTGTTTGTTTATTTGCCGGTACCTGGAATCGAACTCCCAACCTCGCACTTGCCAGGCAGGCGCTGTGAGGCTGAGCTAAATCCCCAGCCCGCTCATATTGCTTTTTAAAGATACATTTATTTAAAAAAAAAAAAGGTAGATGTATTAAGGTATATTTTATGGATTAAATAATATCCCAATGTCGAGCAGACAACTCAATATTTTTAGTCTATCGACCCAGTTGTACAGTGGTCACTGCTGATCCATTTTATTTATTTATTTTTTGTTTTTGTTTTGTTTTTTTGTGGTATCGGGAATCGAACTCACGACGTCGCACTTGCCAGGCAGGTGCTGTGCCGCTGAGCTAAATTCCCAGCCCCTGCTGATCCATTTTAGAAGACCTTCGTCACCCCAGCATCACCCCGGGTGCCCCGGGACTGTCAGTCCCCATCCCCACCTTTGCCCGGGGCTACCTCTGAATGTCCTGACATCCTCCGGGTGGTCTCAGCATCCCCTAGGGTCCCACCCTTAGCCGAGTGGTGAGCACCCTGCCCCTTGTGTGTCTGCCGCAGGTCACAGCCACCAGCTGTTCCACGTGTGCGTGATCCTGGCCACGCACATGCAGACGGAGGCCATCCTGCTGGACAAGGCGCTGAGGAAGGAGTGGCTGCTGGCCGCGTCCCAGCCCCTCTCCCTCTTGCAGATCGCCGCTGCCCTGCTCGCGTGCCTCCTCTTTAGCCTCGGCAACATCGTGTACTTCTCTGCTGCGCTGTATCGGACTCCGGAGGCAGAGTTACAGAGAAAGGAAACATGAAGCTCTCAGGACAGAAGCTTCCTGTCGGTGTCACTGCTAGGCAGCGACTCTCAGCTGCTGTGAGCTGGCGATGTGGTGCTGGCTTACAGAGGCCAAACGGTCCCCGAGGACTCCAGGGTGCTTTTGACTGGGTTCACGTCGTTGAAGGGTATTTAACTCGAAGATTTCTCTAAATGGGCACTGATTCTATATATATATATATCTTTTTTTTTTTTTTTTGTACTGAGAATCAAACTCAGGACCTTGCACTTGCCAGGGAGGCACTGTCCCATTGAGCTATGTCCCCAGCCCTGGGCACAGATTCTGGATGTGTGATTTTAAAATGGGCACAAGTAAGTCTTTCTTTTCTCTCTTTAATGTGGTATGTACTGAGAATTGAACTCAGGGCCTTGGCACTGTGCTATACCCTGGCCTTCTTTAAATGTTTTTATTTTGAGACAGGAGCTCATTAAATTGCCCAGGCTGGGTTCAAACTTGCAGTCCTCCTGCCTCAGCCTCCCAGAATGCTGGGATTATAGGCATGCGCCTCTACCCCGGCTGCTTCACTCTTTAAAAACTCAAGTTCCTTTGGTGAACTTCACGTAAGGAAGCTTCTTCCAAGGCTCCCAGCATGGCCTGGCAGCTCCTTTGGGAAAACGAGCAGGAAAGGTCCCTAGGACGACCTGGGAAAGAGGAAGGAGCTGTGGGGACTGGGGGACATTCAGAATTCAGAGACACCACCTCAGTGAGGGAATGAACCAGAGTGGAAGCCTCCCACAAGTCCACTCTGCCTTCAGAGCGCAAGTTTCTATATCATAATGGATTTGGCGATTCTCCTGCCTCAGCCTCCTGAGTGCTGGGAATTGGTTCTGTTTATTTAAATCCGCAGCCTGTGGCTGGGTGTTGAGCTATAAAGTATTATGCAGTGTGTCTCACTGTGGGGGTTGGGGAGCGGATTCCGACTGGTTACATTCATTGTTACTTTTGTAACCCAAAGGGAGGACTGTGGAGATGCAACATATTTGCGGTTGCTTAGGGTTTCCAAAGCTGCTGCTGAGTTTAGGATTCCGCGTGCAGGATGTTAAAGACCTTGCCAGTGTGACAGCCGCATGTTGCATCCTCCAGCTGTACTGTGAGTCAGAAACACCAGCTAAAGCTTGCAACAAATGCAGATTCCCAGGTGACGCGGGGACTCTGCTTCACTGGCTGAGATGTACATCGTCTATCCCAGAGCAAGTCCCTCTGATCATTCCGGTGCAGGGGGGCCAGGGGTGTAACTTGAAGTCACGCTGGTGTCACACACTCCCAAGGGGCTGGGCTCTATCAGCTTTGCTTTGGTGGATGCCAAGTTTCGGCCACTGAGCTCCTCAGGGCGTATCACCCACATTTTTTCTCCATAAAAATGGAGTCTCATGGGTCAAACCTCTTCCAGAAAGAAGGACTAAATAAAGCTGGGGGATTACGGAGGAGGCGTCTCACGTTTGCATGTCTGATACCAAGTACTATCGCAAACACTCTGGCAGAACCACAACCTGGCACAGCAAAATACTTCTGCAAGGGCAGCTAAGCAGCAGCCGCCCGACCGGCCTCACGTGGACGCCGTCTCTGCGGTGGGTCCTCGGGGCCGAAGACTGCTGTACTGTTTTGAAAACAAGGCAGAGAATCCGCCTCTTCTGGCCTTCAAAGATGTCCTCGTGCTTTGACCTCCTTGAACAAGCACACAGGGCTCTCAGCACCAGTACCCCCAGCCATGCCCGCTCCCAAATAAACCCATTATCTTTGGGGCATCTGCTGTCGACCTTGACAGCGTTGTAACATGGGCACTGTCTCATTGGCGGCATTACTAATTAAAGCTCAGGATTTTATGGTGTTTTTGGGTGTGCAGAAACGCTCACACCAGACAGTTTGTGCCCGACCGCACATCCATCCAACGCCTGGCCTGCACTTCGCAATGCAAGACCCACTCCGCTGACTCAGAAAGACCCCCATGTCTCAGCCTCCTGCCTGTACGATAGGCTGCCCTGTCTGAGCTCAGCGTCTGATCCTCTGAAGAGAGCTGACAATTCATGTCGGATAACGGTGGCCAAGAAATATAATTGCATTATTTTAGCATCTATCTACTTCCTGTGGAGAAGGGCGGGCTGTTAAAGTTACACAGGCTGGTAAATCTGGGGCACGTGGATGGCAAGCTGCAGGAAGAATTTTGCCTTTGGGCAACGACCTGATGCGGCTGGTAGAATGCTGCACCCGCAGGGTCTGTGGGCTTCTGCTGCTTCTCTCTTTCACAACTCCAGTTTTTTTCTTTTCTTTTCAGAGAGGGTCTTTCTATGTCAGTCAGGCTGGCCTTGAACTCATGGAGACCCTCTTGCCTCAGCCTTCTAAGTGCTGGGATTATAGCCTGTACTACCACACATGGTTTATAATTCTAATTTTATATATAAAATATTATATATATATATTTGGGTTTTTTTGAGACAGGGTTTCACTATGCAGTTCAGGCTGGCCTCAAACTTGCAGCATCCTCCTGCCTCATCCTCCCAAGTGCTGAGATTACAGGCATGTGCCATCATGCCCAGCCTATAATTCTAATTTTATAGAGAAAAGTATAAACACCCTTTTTTAGCAATGTGAAAGACAAAGTGTTTCAAATTCTCACTTATAGGTAATAAAATAATGTTTTCAGTTTAGTATAGAAATAGCTGGAAGATTGGGGTGATCAGTGTAAGGAATTTTAGAATATTTAATCTTTGCTTATGCTACTTTTTCAGCATGAATCAACAGAATAAGATCAAGTGTTTCACAATAGGTTTTTTTGTTTTTTGTTTTTGTCTTTTTGAGACAGGGTCTCACTATGCAGTTCAGGGCTGGCTTTGAGCTCACTTTGCAGTCCAGACTGGTCTCAAACTCACAACGATCCTCCTGCCTCAGCCCCCTGAGTGCTGGGATTGCAGGCATGCGCCACCACACCCAGTTGTTTTCTTAAATTTGGTGAACTTTAGTACTATTTTATGCTTTTGGACAATGTCATCAATTGCATTTTTTAAATAATTTTTGAGACAGGTCTTACTATGCAGTTCAGGCTGGCCTTGAGCTCATGAAGATTCTCCTGACTCAGCCTCCTGAGCACAGGTACTGGGATTACAGGTGTGTACCACGGCTCCTGGCTGCAATTTTATAATGGTTATGTAGGGCACCAATTGTAAGATTCTAATGTGGAACAAGAGTGGGTTCACATACACTAATTTCCATTAAGTATTAAGTAACAGACATTAGATGTCTAATGTGGGTATTGTTTCACCAAGCCATCTCAGAAAGCCAAAGTTGTTGGCAAGGAGTTGGCTGAAGACCTCACTGGAGATTTTGTTTTATTTTTGTTTTACTTTTGTTTTTGTTTGATTTTTGAGGCCTTGAAGTCACAGTGATCCTCCTGCCTCAGCTTCCCAAGTGCTGGGATCACAGGAGTGTGCCACCATGCCCAGTTTGGAGATGTTCTTTACTGCGGCATTCTCAGCTCTTAGAAAATGTCTTGAACTGGGAGTAGTGGCGCACGCCTGTAACCCTAGCCCTTGGGAGGCTGAGGCAGGAGGATCACTGCACCTTCAAGGCCAGCTTGAACTACACAGCAAAACCCTATCTCAAAAAAAAAAGTATCTTGAGCCCAGTGTTGTGGCGCATGCCTGTAATCCCAGCACTTGGGAGGCTGAGGCCAGAGGATGGCCATGAGTTCAAAGCCAACCTGGGCTACATAGTGAGACCCTGGCTCAAAAAAGTAAAGAAAAGAAAAGGTCTCAGTACACTGTGGCATGTGACACTGCCATGTGACAGCGGTCACCATGGCCCTCTCAAGGCCTGGCAAAGCAGGTCCCTTCCCTTTCCCTTGCCTGAGAAGCATGAAGGGCACTGAATACCTTTGAATGCAGTTCCTTGGTGAACTGCATCTTCCTTGCTTATTTTCCATTGCTTAGGTTTTAGAGAATAATTCATGTTTTTTTCCTCCGTTACTGGCGATGGAACCTGGGGCCTAGGCAAGTTCTCTACCACTACACTACAGCCTTAGCCATTTTGATTTTATTTTCGCAGTCCTGGGGACTGAGCCCAGAGGGGCTCTACCACTACTCTATATCCCCACCCCTTTTTGTTTTTTGTTTTGAAACAAGGTCTTACTAAGCTGCCCCGGCTGCGTGTGAACTTGCAATTCTTCTGCCTCAGCCTCCCCAGGGCTGGAATCACAGGGCTGTACCACCAACCACATCCAGCTTGTTTTAAAGAACAAATGTGTGGTTGGTAGAATGCTGTGGGAAATGTGGCTTTCTGAGTGCAAGGGATCTAAATATTTGATTCAATGCAATCTTTCTTGAAGTGCTTTCCCTTGTTCCAAGAGCCTGACTTCCTGCTCAGCAGTCCACGGCAAACACCCACTCCCGACGTGGTCAGGGTCCACCAATTTACGACTGATATTTCTGAACTGTGTATAGAGAAAGAAAATAAAAAGGGTGCATTCATAAGGTCATCCTGATTCCCTTCTGGTTTGGTCTCATTTTACCTGCCGCGCTGCAGACACACGGTCCTCAGGCCCAGAAGAGATCCCTGCGCGTGTCTATGGGGATCCTGAGCAAACCAAACAGGTCCTCCCTCGCGGAGCCAGCATTCTGGCTGGGCAGAGACAGGCACGCAAATTGAGAAAATCCCAAGAGCCTAGCGGAAACAGGCTGGTGGAGGGTTTGGGGAGGGCCGGGCAGCGCAGGTGACCCGGATGTGCTGCGCTAAGGCAACACCTAGGAGGCTCCAGGGGCAGGAGGAGCCAGGCTTCGGAGGCACTGCCGGTACTACACACTCCTCAGGTGCAGGAGGCTGGTGCTCCATCGCCCCCTGCTGGCAGTGCTGCTGCTTATTGAAATTACAGAAATCAGGCCGCTGTTTCCGTGCTCGGCTCTGGAAGAACAGAGTGGCCTCTTTTTTTGGTCTTTTTGAGACAGAGTTTCACTATGCAGTTCAGGCTGGCCTTAAACTCGCTATGTGTGGGCCGGGGATATCGTTCAGCCGTACAGCACCTGCCTGGCAAGTGCAAGGTCCTCAGTTCAATTCCCAGTATTAAAAAAAGAAAAAAGAAAAAAACAAAAACTCTGACTATATAGCCCAGGCTGGACTCGAACTTGCAGCAATCCTCCTGCCTCAGCCTCCCAAGTGTTGGGATTATAGGTATGTGCCACCACACCTGGCTGTAACTCAGTTTTAAGACATAATTTCAGACCAAGCGAAATGCCACAAAATAAACTGGAGTGAAGCACTCCTGTAATCCCTGCACTCTGGAAGGCTGAGGCAGGAGAATGGAAACTTCAATAGCTTGGGTAATTTAATGACTTAGCAAGACTGTGTCTCAGAAATAAAATTTAGCCAGGTGCGGTGGCACACGCCTGTGAGCCCAGCACTCAGGAGGCTGAAGCAGGAGGACTGCTGTGAGTCGGCAGTCCAAGGGTCACGACTAGAGACATACAGCACAGGGATGCACACACCCCCAAAGCTTTAAAGTGAGGGAAAGAAGATTCTGGATAAGGCAAACGATAGGGAAGGGAATCAGAAACGCGCTGGCAAGGGTTGGGCGTAGAGGAACGAGCGGCACAATGGGATTTCTGAGTATACAGGAAATATAATTTATTAAGATCAAAAAAATTAAGATTTGTTATTTGTATGTACCATCTCCACCGTCAGCATAATCATTATGGATTGCAAATATGCGCTAATGAAAATAAAAGTAAAAGATTAAGAAGTATATATTTGATTGTGGTGGTGGTGGTAGGATTGTATGTGTTGGTCAAATGGCATAGACCAGTACACCTGAGAGGGACCTCCCGCCGGTCTTGAGTCCGCTCACCTTTTCCGACTCGTCGCCTAGGAGATGAGCACCACTTCCGGCAGCGCGCGCTCCGCGAGGCCCCGCCCCTTCCTCGTGAGCGGGCACTGATTGGCCCATTTAAACAGCGCCCGGCGGGAGCGCGCTGGGCCTCTGGGCGACGCGGCGGGCTTTTCGCAGCCGAGTCCGTGTGGCCTCCTCCCGGCGTCTGCCTCCTCGCCCGGCCGATCCCCGCGTGTGCGGCCCACGGAACCTGGTGCCATGGAGGCAGCGTGAGTCCGGGACGGCCGAGGGGGTGGGGGCCGGCGGGAGCGGGGTCAGGTGCGGCGCCCCGCGGACCGAGACCCCG